ATACATATGCTAATTTTAATTTATATACAGTTCTCTTCAATTTGAACACAGTCTGTCTTCTAGTTTCTTGCAGAAACACATACACCACAGTGACATCTTAACAGTTTTATTGGCTCCATTGACTCCACAAACACATGCACGTGCAGGCCGACGGGAGAATGTTGTGTTTTAACTACATTCTGGAGGGGGGGGGGGAAGATTGGAGATCATTAACACAGGACAAAACATTTATTTTTTCACAGTTTTATCAAGTCTGTGTTTTGTCTTGTACATTACTGGTTAATGTCACTCTTTCATGGCTCTGAAAAGTATTTAAATTTAACACAGAAAAAAAATCCAAAATCAGATATGAAACTGGTGATGAGGGATTGCTGGTAAATATTGCGGTTTTATTTTAAATGGTAAAACCCACACATGTAATCTAAACACAAAATTTGAAGTTGGAGATACAGAGAAATACAGCACCAAGGCATGTTAGATAGGGTGATGTATTAGCCTGTGCGCACACTCTTAATACATGCCTAGAAAGTATTGAAGGTTATGGGAAGTCTAAAAAATGTGAGGAGAAAAAACTATCTTTGGTGATGTGTGTATCAAAACCTGGGTGTTTTTCCAGTGGGCTCCTAATTTTTTTGCATTTACCTCCAATATAAATATTGAGCACTGCTTTCTGTGAGTCTCTATTGATCATTTTCAACTGCTAAACTACCTGTGTACCTACAGCATGTATCATATTTGACCTACAATCCTAAATAATGCAAGTGCTTTTACATACAGTTCCAAACACATAATTTACAGACCAGTCACTTTGAATTCTTAAAAATGGTTTTAAAGGTGTGTGTGTGTGCATGTGTGCATGTGTGTGTGTGTGTGTGTGTGTGTGTGTGTGTGTGTGTGTGTGTGTGTGTGTGTGTGACTGAAAGATGAAAGATGACTGTGAAAACTGAAAGATGCATCCACTTGTAAAGACAACAATTTGTAATGTATACTGGTTGTGTGTGAAATGACAACCTTTTAACAGCACTTTCTACAGTGAAGACTGACACTTTTTTGCTATTGTCTGCCACCAGAGGGCACTCTCATTATATAAAATGGCAAAAATATTAGAGGAGGAGGCAAATTGTTTTGACATAGCATGTTACATATCAAAAAATTAATTTAAAGAAAACAAAGAAAAAGTACTTTGAGAGTGCTAAGTAAAATATACAGTGGGCCTATACTAAACATTAAAGTAAATATTACAAATTACAAAAGCAAGGCAATTATTTATCAATTATTCAAGTTCTGAGAAAAAAAGCAACATTTTACATCTGTGTCCTTAAATTACCCTTTTATAAAGCAGATAAGCTACACTGCCTGTCTGAACAACACAAATGTATAAATGGTGCTGTATCAATAAATAAAAGACAAAACCTAGAAAGCACTGCCTGTTGGTCTGAGAATCTTTCATGGTAGAAATTAGATGAATTTTTTTCTTGTGTAATCTGGAGCAAGGCTGCTTAATTTTAATTCACAGATGATCACACATCCTTTAAAATTTGTATAAACTGAGGGACCTACAACCTAAGAGAGCCCATGTCAGTGTTAAATACAGACAGAGATGTCATTCCCCCACTTTTGACCTCCACAAGAACAAATCGTAACACTACTAAAGCGCAAAAATGCTGAAAGAATACTCTTGATCCCATTGTCATGTAACCAAACAAACCACTGTCAGTCCAGGCTGGGTTTCTTAAGGACATACCCATTCTATTATACCTAGCTTACTTTCTCTGCAGGCCAAGGTAAAAAAAACTACCCTGACTTTGTCTCACATGTTTCTCAGCAGTAGGTCATGTGCTTTCTAAAGGCTGGCCAACATTGTAAGCTTTGTTGCCAAAATATACTGTAGGCTCCCTATCAGAATCAACATCATCAAGATCCGGGCGTGTTGTGCAACCACAGGCGCTTGACGCAACATTGATAATTCAAAAGTCAACACCATGGTATTGATTTATTATCTGCATGTTCCAAAGCAAAGTGAATGAATTATAGTCCTAGTTGACATGATTTTCACATTATTAAAGCATATCAAATTACAAACATGAACTGTATCACACAACAGTTTAATACAGGTTTAATACAGGTTTGGTCATGAGAGTCATTATAATTAAATAAGTAGTTAACTAAGTACTTTACACCTAACTCATCTAAACTACTACTAACATACAGTTTTATCTAAACTCTACCAGGTTCATTTTAAAAGGGTCCAAATTAAAGATGCCCAGAAATGGTATGCCCACAAAGGTTCAAGAAGATGATCAGGTTTGGGCTACATCTACATCAGTGGCGGCTGCTGGTCTTATAAGGAGGGGAAGCTCATTTTCGGCCTACATCATAAAATGTGTCCGTTTATTCATATGTAAATTCGCAGAGTGACAGAAGAGAGTCGCCAAATACAACGCTAGTCGTTTTTAACAAAGACAAAGTCGCTGAGGATCAGTAACGTCTCCAGATCAACTCCGAACAACGGAATGAAAAACTTGAAAAATACTCCGGTGGATGCTTATACTTCAAGATCGCTGATTCGCTCATTTCGCTGTCAATCAAAAAGGGACTCAGTCTCAGACAGATCATCCAATCATCATGCAGAAGCCGATCGTCCGGGCCAGCCCACTGCCCCATAGACCCCCAGAGACACTGAGCGTCTGATGGGCGGGACAAAGCCCAGCATTTATCAAATGACCATCTAGTTTCACTGCAGTGGAACAACCCACTCTATGCTTCCCCATTGAAGTCAGTAGACGCTCGGCATCTACACTGTGTCGGTTACCTGTGATAAGTAGCTGATTCTGAACAAAAGATGAACGTGTTCTAGCGCATATTTAGTCAATGAAATGTACACACAACAGTACATGTTTGACCACCTATTTTGTTGACATTTTAGGGGAAGCTGAGCTTCCCTTGCAGTCTTAGAGCAATCGCCACTGATCTACATACAGTCCCACACTGTCAAGGGTTTGAGTAACTGAGTTGAGTAATTGCATTAAGAAAGCCATATTCTTATTTGTCATTAACCCATTCAACAACAGATTCATATAATAAACCAGCACAGGTCTATAAAACCATAAAATTAGTTAAACCTAGTCCTTACTAACCTAGCCGGAAGTTGCGCATGTATTGGATCATCACTTCATGTTTCATCCTTTGTCCTTTTTTCTAAAGTTGCTTTTTATAGGTAAATAAAAACATACTGTTTGTATTACAAGTACTCATAATTTGTTTCAGTGCTATCAACAATTTAACTATCAACAATAAATGCACATATAAATAATAAATGATGAGGAAAAATGGGGACAACAACAACATGATTAACTGGACAGGGACGAAGAGGTGAAATGCTGCCTCCTATGGAGGTGGATCAAGTAGCACAATCTTACACATTACACCTTTAATCCACTCACCCATATCTTTAGATGACTTAATTCAAATGGATAGTAACTTCAGTTTAAAAAGGTGTACTACTTGTATCACTAGGTAGCGAATGTGTTACACATGGAATAAACAATTTTGGTCCACTTCCAAACTTCCTTCCAGTTTTGCTGAACATTTGAATGTTACTGAGCACATTGGAATGAGCTCACATAACTCTAAATTTAAAGGATGAGTGTGCTTGTCAGTTTGTTGACTTAGGTAAAGCAGCTGATATGGTTGATGACACTGTACTTTATACACTGCAGTCACTTGGACTTGATGATTCTGCTGTAACCTGCTTGGGAACCTTTCTGATGGATCTCAGGTGCTTTCATTGGTCATATACAACTATAATATAACTATAACTGCTTGGCACATTATGTTTTAGATATTTCATTATATTTAGATCATATATTAAGATCACAAAGTTGAGTTTTTTTGTGCACCACAAAAATGTCACAATGGAAAAAAAACTTTACTGTCCATAATATTAGGACGATGCTTTTCAAAATATGTGACAATGCAATTGTTTGCCTTTGCTAGAGATGTACATGACTGTTGTGTGAAAACAGTTGGTGATAGTGCAAAATATTGACGATTCATCGGGGTCTGCTCTGATTGAATGAATGAAAGGCAGGCTTTTTATGCACTAAAATGGCAGAAGGGGTGTCAGTCCAACATTCCAGTTAGGTCATTACAATGAATTGTTGGTGTCATCTATAATGTCATTCAGTAATTAAGATTTTAGTCATTCCTTCAAGAAAGTTTCTCTGCAAATCAAGAATTTGATTTAATAATTTGTACTAAATTACATTCCATTCCATTTTCCAAGCAATTTCCATAAAACTACTAGGAAAAACAGGACTTGTCAAATAAAGAATCAACCCTTCAAACTACTTTGTGTGCTGTTGTTTAGACTATTCTGTAATAATGCATTTTGTTCTCACTGTATGTGTTTTGCATGTAAAATCTTAATATATAAAATATATCAGGGGTTGAAAAAGTCAGAAATTAAATGTTGTGCAAAAAGGTTTGAATAAAGCAACTATTCAAAATGGTGAAAATTAAATTTAATCAAATGAATTAATTTTTTTAAATTAATGAATAAAATGTGCTGATTTGAAAGTAACTAATCAAAAATCAAATTAATAATCGTTTAAGAGATTATATGTGAAACCAACACAGGAAACAAATGTGTTCGATCTGACTAATATAAAAGCAGGAAGTTTGAGGTTTGAAGTGTGACAAATCTAGTGCTAGTTCATGACAAATTAAATGACAGATAGGCAAGTTTGTGACTCATTTCTTAACAGGAACAAACACACTTTATTTGAACCTTAAAATTCTGAGAAGTGGTCAGACTGGAAATACATTGCTAGCGGGGACTGCATCACTGTGAGATTTTTTTTTATAAGATAAAGAGAAGTACTGCCCAGGATGGATGCATGAACAGCTAGCCTCGAGAAAAAATAACACTACCAAAAATTGTTTTTGTTAATTCTCACTGTTTTAGTCAGTTTTATCTGCAACAACCAAATACTCCAGTTTTTTGCCTGAAACTAGCCATATTCTTCCACTCTTCTGATATTGTAAGTACGACCTTAGAGTAAAGTTCAGAAAGAGACTAATAATTCTCTAACTCTTATTTATCATTAAGTTTCACATCTTAACTATTTATGGCTAATGTACACAATGGCACATACTGTAAACTGTAGTTAGGCATGCCTAAGCCTATTTCTGTTCTTTATTTGCATCAAAGTATCTGCAGTACATCTGTCCTCATTAATTTAAACAACGATAGTATTTTTAAGCAAAGTGCATAGATGAAGGTGCATTTGGTGGCGTTAAGAGTCTAAAAATTCCTTGCAGTAAAATGAGACTCACAGCCTAACTTACTTTCAAGCAACAACAATGTTTAAGAAGGTGTTGCTGTAAAGGCCAGTGTAGATACTGGCAAGGTAGAACTGGAGGAGGTTTTATAACGTAGACTGTTCGATTTCTTTATGTGTTGTACTCTCTTTTAGCTAATATATGGCCCTCGTCTCAGTTGCATTTTGATGACTACTACTGGTACAAGCTAGTCATATCCACTTTCAAACTGTGTGAGGGCTGGTCTGTACTCCTGGACTGGAGTTTCAGGTAGCAAGACAAAACATGGGCATACAATTATAAAATATCTTACAGTAACTCTGCCAGGAGGTTTCGTTTCCAAATTGTATATGCAAATGACACGCAAAGTACCTGTTTGTTCCAACCACATGATCCAACCATATGCTATTGTAGTTGTTTTTCCAACCATGTCATTGTAGAGGCACCATACCCTCAGCACTCAGTGTTTACTGTTTCCAGTGTACAGATAGTGGCTGCACCTGTTCATGGTCTCACTCTCCATTCACGCTAACGGCAACTACTAGAACAACTACACAATGGTGAGTATTATCCTAACACGTACAATATTAATGTTGTGCTGAATGTGGTTAGCTCTCAACATAAAGTTAGTTTCTACTGTACCTGTTACTGATGGCTCCAAGTCGTAAGACTTTGTTTCTATTATTATTAACCCATTTGTTTCTTCTCCCTTACTTCACTCCATTCCCCTTCCTTCTCTTTTCCTCTATTTTCTCCTCTTCTGCTGTCTTCTCTCCTCTCCTCCTCTCTTCTCTGTAGGTGTTCAACTGTACAATGATAGATGTCATGCTAGAGAGATACTATCTGTCACCATTTTATGCGATTGAGTTCTGCATTGGTTTCCCTGGCAACCTTTTGGTTGTACTTGGTTACATATTTTGTTTACCAAACTGGCAGAGCTGCAATATTTACCTCTTCAGCCTGGCAGTGTCCGACCTTATTTTCCTCTGTACATTGCCACGCCTCTCCTACCTCTATGCAAATGACCAATCGGAAACCAATCCTTTTGCTTGTGTTATCAACCGCTACGTCCTGCATGTCAATCTTTACTCCTCCATCCTCTTTATGGTTTGGCTTTGCATGGATCGCTTCCTGCTAATTAAACATCCAACACGGAACAACTACCTGCTGAAGAAACGGACAGCCCTGATTGTGACAGGGCTAAGCTGGCTAGCTGTCAATATGGAAGTTGCTCCAATGATAGTACTGATGGTTCAAGACTTAAAGAGTGGAAACTGGAGTCTCTGCAAGGATTTTGCCAGCCTAAAAGGAGATGTTGATGTATTAGGTTACAGCCTGGGGCTAACCTTGACTGGTTACATTGTTCCTCTGTTTGCACTTTGTAGTTTCTCTTACAAAATTGCACATCTGCTCCATGCCCAAGAAAGGGCTCTACAGCGCAGGACAACATCATACAGGCGGCCTCTCAGAGTTGTTGCGTCAGCCGCAGCCATATTTCTGGTTCTCTACACTCCCTACCATGTGATGAGAAATATCACAATAGCATCTCGGCATGCCTCGGCAGGACTTAATCAATGTACAAAGATGTACATACAGGGCATGTACATCTTGACTCGACCCTTGGCTTTCATGCACAGTGTCATCAACCCTGTCTTCTATTTCTTCATGGGTGACAAGTTCAGAGAGCTCCTGTTCACTAAGCTCAGAAAGCTGGTCAGAAAGACAGAGCAGCAAAGACAACCAGCCTGACACAATTCAACACAACATCCCTGCATATGCCTACACGAAAAGAGACACACATCAACATAGTACATCCACACATTTATATCAGTGCTGCCCTTACATAATGTATTTTGTTAAACGTTTTGTTGATATGCTTTCCCTTACTTTGGTGTTTTTAATTTTTTAATATATTAATTGATATAATGTTCAGCCTATATGTTATTTTCAAACTGTCTGGTATTTTTAAGACTGTATGAGATCTTTGTTCTTGTATGTACATATTTATCATGCCTGTTATTAATGTGGAAACTTTATTGCAGTGACCACACATTTCATTGCTTATTATCTGGAAACAAAACATATCAACATAACCATAAAGAGGAACTGAGGCAAAGTTACATTTCATGTTGACAAAGTAAACTAACTAGTAAAATAACTTGATACATTTAGAGGCTATTTTTATATTAATGCTCTGTTTAAGTATATACCTGTATCTTCACTTAGGTTGCTGTTTTTATTTGTATTTGTTGAAAAAGCATATTTACTCATATTTTCAATTGGATGAAACTGAATGTGCATGTTTTTGTCATTTTTATTACTATTTTTGGGATGTTTGTGAATTAAAGTTAATATTATATTGTATCATTTTTAATGTAATCAAATAAAGTATTCAGACCCCTTTAAATTTTTCACTCTTTGTTTCATTGCAGCCATTTGCTAAAATCGAAAAAAGTTTTTTTTTTTCTCATTAATGTACACTCAGCAACCCATCTTGACAGAAAAAAACAGAAATGTAGAGCTTTTTGCAAATTTTTTAAAAAAGAAAAACTGAAATATCACATGGTCATAAGTATTCAGACCCTTTGCTGTGACACTCACATTTAACTCACATGCTGTCCATTTCTTCTGATCCTCCTTGAGATGGTTCTACTCCTTCATTGGAGTCCAGCTGTGTTTAATTAAACTGATTAGACTTGATTAGGAAAGGCACACACCTGTCTATATAAGACCTTACAGCTCACAGTGCATGTCAGAGCAAATGAGAATCATGAGGTCGAAGGAACTGCCCAAGGAGCTCAGAGACAGAATTGTGGCAAGGTGCAGATCTGGCCAAGGTTACAAAAGAATTTCTGCAGCACTCAAGGTTCCTAAGAGCACAGTGGCCTCCATAATCCTTAAATGGAAGAAGTTTGGGACGACCAGAACTCTTCCTAGACCTGGCCGTCCAGCCAAACTGAGCAGTGGGAGAAGAGCCTTGGTGAGAGAGGTAAAGAAGAACCCAAAGATCACTGTGGCTGAGCTCCAGAGATGCAGTAGGGAGATGGGGTTCCACAAAGTCAACTATCACTGCAGCCCTCCACCAGTCGGGGCATTTATGGCAGAGTGGCCCGATGGAAGCCTCTCCTCAGTGCAAGACATATGAAAGCCCGCATAGAGTTTGCCAAAAAACACATGAAGGACTCCCAGACTATGAGAAATAAGATTCTCTGGTCTGATGAGACCAAGATTGAACTTTTTGGCGTTAATTCTAAGCGGTATGTGTGGAGAAACACCACGCACGTGCTCATCACCTGCCCAATACAATCCCAACAGTGAAACATGGTGAGTGGGCAGCATCGGGGGTGTTTTTCAGCTGCAGGGACAGGACGACTGGTTGCAATTGAAGGAAAGATGAATGCGGCCAAGTACAGAGATATCCTGGAAGAAAACCTCTTCCAGAGTGCTCAGGACCTCAGACTGGGCCGAAGGTTCACCTTTCAACAAGACAATGACCCTAAGCACACAGCTAAAATAACAAAGGAGTGGCTTCGGAACAACTCTGTGACCATTCTTGACTGGCCCAGCCAGAGCCCTGACCTAAACCCAATTGAGCATCTCTGGAGAGACCTGAAAATGGCTGTCCACCAACGTTCACCATCCAACCTGACAGAACTGGAGAGGATCTGCAAGGAAGAATGACAGAGGATCCCCAAATCCAGGTGTGAAAAACTTGTTGCATCATTCCCAAGAAGACTCATGGCTGTACTAGCTCAAAAGGGTGCTTCTACTCAATACTGAGCAAAGGGTCTGAATACTTATGACCATGTGATATTTCAGTTTTTCTCTTTTTAATAAATTTGCAAAAATTTCTACATTTCTGTTTTTTTTTCTGTCAAGACGGGGTGCTGAGTGTACATTAATGAGAAATAAAATGAACTTTTTTGATTTTAGCAAATGGCTGCAATGAAACAGTGAAAAATTTAAAGGGGTCTGAATACTTTCCGTACCCACTGTATATCTCAGCTAAACTAATAATAATTGGGTGTGACTCATATTTCCAATGGAAGGTTATGCAAGTGATGGATGGTGACAAGGTGAGGGCCTCTGCCAAATACCAAATATATTGCATTCACATAATAATCCATTGCATGTGGATGCATTGCATGCAACTCCAGTTACTTTTTTGATCAGTATCAATACTGTTATTACTAAAATACCAATGGTTTCCACCCCTATTGGCTAAAGCTCTGGCAAACCTTTTCTCAGATTTATTTCCTGTGTAATGTGAAGCTTGTACAGCAGATTCTGAGTATTTCTTAGAACCTTCTTAGAACTTTCATCCTCTTCAACTTTTATCTAGATGTTTTTAAAAGTGTCAAACATCTACAACTCAAACATTGAAAAAGGGTAGTTGCTACCATGAAAAGAGGGTGACCATCCTGAAAATCAGTCAAGGAAAACAGATACATGATTTGATCTCTGTTGTCTTTGTTTTTCCTGGATTTAACTGATCCCAGCTTGCTGAGTTATGCAGCACCTTACACTTTGACCTTTTCAACTGAGACATAAGCAGGAATTTTATTTTCAAGAAGCCCCTTGTTTTCCAAAGTGCGTTTATTGTATAATTTTGTGAGGACAGTCAGGGTTTTAAAAACATTTTTTAATGGGTGACAGACGCTTAAGAATAGAGAATTGACGGGTTTGGATTTGGCTGATGTGTAAGCAATGCATCACTGTCACTGCAGCATACAATGTGTAGCCTTTGTTTTATTTATGTGACTGTGTGTATTTGCAAAGTATGGGTTATGGTATTTCTTTGCTCTCCCTCTTTTCTGAATCACATCATTTACTCACTTCATCTGCTGTGAAAATGTTGTTGCAGTATGGAATATTGTAAGTCAGCCTCCTGTTTTGACACATACATCTTTTTTCCATAAAGCTCATCTTTAGTGTTGTTTGGTTTACTGAAACATAAAAGAAATATCAGGATATTTTCTGATATTTTCTAATAATACTGTAATATTTATCTTTAAAGGTGGAATCATCTGGTGATCTCAGCTCTCATGAAAGTCTCCTTTTATATTGGACTATCAGTGACCCTTGATGCTTACTAAAACCCTGAACCCTCATTAAAGACAAAAACACACTTTACTTCATAGGGCTTTAAGACAGCAGATAGGATCAGGTGCTTTCTTTCAGTCATGACTAATCACACCATGCTTGATCCATCATTTGATTTATATTGGCATCTATCCTGGAATGAGAAAAGAAAAGAAGCATGGATGAAATATTGGGCTGTGTTCTGTGTGCGAGTTTCAAGTTTTATAATAACAGCCAGAGGAGTGGTACTGAGCCAGAGCCAATGAGAAACAGCAGCAGAAAAGTATGTGTGGGGACAAATACAAAACCTGAAGTTCTATATTACGTTTAATGCGATATTCTAATGCGATAATATATTTTTGAAAGATAATTCAATATGGCAGTTCAGACAATTGAGGCCATTGAAGCAATTATAGGGCGCATGGTCTTTTTATAGAATTTTAGGAGGGTTGCTATATGTTAAAGCACCTATTATAACCAGTAATAATATTGTGGTGATAAAATGCATGTGCAATGCAAATGAGTTATCAAACTTAATTTGAAACTAAAAATGAATAAAGAAAATACCTTGATAGGCTTTGGCGTCAGATTTTTCAGAACAAGACCTTTGAAAATAATGATTTATTTTCAATCCTTATGAAGAGTACATTTACAGAAAGTGTGGTACAAAGTGCATGTACACAAAGTGCGTATTTGCATGAGCAGTACGTGTGCTCGCTTACTCATGCATAGTCACATTCCTGCATGTGAACAGAGCAAGTATTTGTGCAAATTCCATACTGTATGTAAGTATAATCTGTGCAAAACCACTATACATTATTAACAGTTTCAAGGAATCATTTGCTATAATCCATTTCACGCTACTGTTATTAGCCCTCCATAGCTTTGAGGGAATTCGGGAACAGTCACACCATTTCACATACTTAGGGATAAATAAGTGCATAAAGTACCTGCATGCACACCTGCACAAGGCCAGCATACAGTAAAATATGACCTGCACAGTGTAGCACATAAATAGTATCTACACCCAGGAGGCGTGGAGTGTTTTGTTTAATGTGTCCTGATGAACAAGAATGACCTATTTGAATCATGCTTTTGGACAAATGGATTGTTCGCACTCATGCATCATCCTCTTTGCTATCCAGAGAAAAACAAGATCAACTGTACTCTCTCTCTCAGCTATATGAACCCTCAACAGATCCAAGGGGGAATGCTTTACCAAAGTGGTGCCAAGTGGGTTTAATGTGTCAGCCGGTCTACACAGAATATCCTTATCACCATATTATCCTGTTCACTTTCACCATGTGTAATGGACAACACTTCTGTACTTCTTTTTCCTTCTATTTTAGTATGTCTTTCTCTTTCTTACATAGAATGTGATTGCACACAAAGTACAATTCATCAGTAGTGAAAGGTCAAGTCAATTTATTGTCAGATAACATCGAAATTAAAATTGATGCAAATCATATGCTCTCCAAGAGGCAATCCAAAACAAAAATAGAAAGTTATATTTACAACTGAGAATGTAGCATCGCTTAAGCAAAAGAGCCAGGTTTCTCAGTAAAGCTGTCACTTGTTTGAAAAGTTACATACTTTATGTGATAGTGTACAGTGTATAAAAATGAGAAACTGGTAAAAAAAAAAGAAAAAAAAAGAAAGACCTGCCTAAAAGCTGAGATTTCACCTGTTTCATAATACAAGATACAAGTCCTTTTGAGCAGTAAAGCTTAAAAACAGTGTTATCCAGAGGTTATGAAGGATTATTTTTTGATAACCTTTACCTTGATGTCGTCTTTTAGATAGCCATCCCATGTTCAGAGAAGTCACAGGGTGATGTCACCCACAGACAGAAGGATAAAAAAAATACAAGGGAGAGCTATGAGAATGGTTTCAAGCCACCTAATATGATTGTTGGGCCTCAGGGACTGCAGTCATAAATACGCAGATCAGAGCTATGCATACAGTCTTTCTGCCAGCCATATAATCTCCTGTCTGCACACTGTTCCATGTTACAAATTTTATCATGAAACTGGCAGTTGGTCTTGCACTAGCAACTTGCTCTTACAGAAGCAAAACCTATAATAGCTTATTTATTAACATATAGAAGGTCGAATTTATGATTTAATGAGCTTTATTCTTATTCTCAAATGACTGCACTTTTGGGATCATCA